ATGCATCTCCTCTAGAGAAGACTTTAAGTCTCTTGTCCAACAAGTTCTCGATCCATCTCTCGCAAATCTCCTTTTCTCTTTTTTAAAGCGAGGAACGAGACGAAGAAAATTTTGATCATATCCATCACATTGCATTCTTTCGTGATTTTTATTTGCTAGCTTCCCTTGTATATTTTTTCAGTAAAGTAAAGTTATTTAACATGTATATGTCTAGACTTTATTCTATTTGTCCTTAAATTATCATTTGTTTCAATTTTTTTCAATTATTCATTGCGCCATTATTCACATCACTTAACACATATAAACATACCATCGTTTAAATCGAAATATATTTAATGTGATTTATGAAATGTCTCTCGACATTTTGATTTATAAAAAGCTTTTTATGGTTCGGTTCACAAAAAAATATTAAATGTTTATCAAAACAGCAATCTCTATACGCGCGCGGTTTATTATTTTTTTAACAATTTTACATAAAAGCGAGATTTTATTTTTATGCTTCAACGCGCTTTTCATGGACAAAGACGAAGGCAGGCACTCGTCACAGGCGGATCAAAGCCGATGTCCTTTGCAGCAGTTAATACGTTTACGAGCTTCTTAGTTCCATTAACCAGACACAAGACGGAATCAGCTATGGCGTTCGCCTTAGGGGTTTCCCGGGGTGTACTCAAAGAGCCAACTATGAATCTCGCACTTCACATCTCCTCGAGAAGTCGAGCCCGGACTTAATCGCGTAAGAACACGTCAGATGCGGAAGGACTTCCATTATAGTTTCAGAATACTACAAGCTATATAGGATAAAACAGTACGACTATATAGAATATATGGCATAATCGTAACAAGTGGATATACAGTGACAGTATATTTTACAATTGCAAATCGGAGAAAGAGTATAACTGACTAAAGGCATTATTTTTCAAGTATGGAAATTTCAAAATCTTTTATTCATATTATATGTCACTTTTGTTTTGTCGAATTTCTCATACATCAATACAGTTAAAAAAATATTGGCGCTATTAAAATTCCGAGGAATATCGAAATTTTAAGTTTGCATCTGATTGACATAGAAATTAATATCGCCTATGCAAGGCTATTCTTATAATATCATAAAGTTCTATTTTTATCTCTCTATTATTTCTAAGATTCTCTGCAAGATAACGATAGCACGTAACATAAATTTATCTTTTCTTTAGTCTTGGTTTAATAATATAATAATATTTTAAAATAATATTTTATACTATATTTCTTCGGGAAAATTAGAGCGTTGAAATTTATCCAAATCTATGTAAGGAAAATAATGTTTTAAGAAACGTGTTGATTTTTCGCGCTAATGAATGGAATTTCGTTCTAAGAAAAGCATGAGAATGAGCTGAAACGTTGCGTTTTCTGTATCTTATATCTACATAACAGTCTTATGTGCCGTTTCATTTTTAAACGTGCTCAATTAACATGCTTAATTAATACGTTTACGCTCGTGGTAAAAACTTTTAGCACGGTTATAAAAGTACGTTGAATTCGCTTTTTCGTTAAATTTTAGAGGAGCAGCGCTAAAAGGCAGTCGCCCATTATTACTATCACGAGCGACAATAATTGTCTTTAGGAAGCGCGTAGGAAGCGCGGCAAAGTACGAATTAATTTGTCGGCGATTGCTCGAACAGAAAAAAAATCATAATTTCGGGATTGCTTCCTTTATTACGTCATTAAATAAATTCACGAGTGGAAACTATCTTCAATTTTAAAGATTACTTTCAATTTTACTGTCTGCATTTGTGTTTAATGAATGTAAAGTGGAATTTGCTCAATGTTATACCGAAATAAAGAAAAAGAGAAAAGCGGGGTACTATGTAATCACCAGACTTGATTTTAAACAATGAATTATAAGTATTATTGAAAGAAGCCCTCTCTTTTTCTCTCTTTGTCAGCTATATGCGGAAGCGGCTCGCGCCCATGGCTTTCATTTTCATTACCTCCAGGCAGCTATTAATTACCCGCGGTATCGATAATCGATTCTCACCGAACGGAGTCGCCGAATAAGAAAACGGAGAAACGGCTAAAAATGGGAATCGCCTTCGCCTGTTTCGCGCTTCGACGATAACGCATACCGCCGTTTCTTTCGCGTGGGTAATGCCGACGATAACTCTCGCGGCTTAGCTCGTTGAATTCGTCGGTTTCATCCGGCGTTCATCGTTCTCGTTTGCGAGTTTCTTCTACAAATATTCCGCGAAACTTCGTATCCCTCGCATAGAACATTATCCGGCGCCATAAATACGCGAAACTTGAAATTGCAATACAGGGAAGAAGAACATGCATCAGAACGACAGAAATTCGCCGAAAGAAACACGAAAAGCAGCACGCTTTCTCAAAATTGTTTTATAACCCTTCAATTGTTTCAACCCTTATCATTTGATAAAAAGACTTCAAATCAAGACTTCAACTTTCAAATTATCTTCAATTATTAATGTTTGTTTCTATCTTTAATCATGTCATGTGTAATATCTCGCCGGAAGTTAATTATGTACGGTTTCCCTAATTAACTAATTAAGCAAGCAACAATTAAACTAGGTAAGATTTTAATTTTATATAACAAAAAATTGCACCTACTAATTATATTCTATTAAAATAATTATAAAAATTGTGGAAAAGTTTTTGTTTCTCTTTTATCACGAATGCGATGTCAATCGCTTCGGCAACGACTCGTGATTTTATTTGATTGGAAATCCGTGCGAAATCTGATGAGTATAACAAAATATCACGAAGGGGTGTGTACGCGAGAATTATGACTTGGTGAGTTGTTTACGACAACTGTAGAAACTGAGAAAATTCCCAGAGGCTCGCCAAGCCCATCCCAATGCCTTTCGCGACTGTGTTCTACACTGTATGCTATATACACGCGGAAAATCTGTAGCCGGGCGTTAACGTGTTTTATGATGGTCGAAAGGAGGGCGAACAAAAGTTTACCGCGCGTTGCCTGCAGAGCGTCGCAGTGACGCCGCGAAGGAGTCCTCCCTTCATCCAACACCCTCCTCCGAGGGGTTGCACTTCCATCCGCCGCGGTTGTATTTTTCTGCGGACAAGTTACAGCCGCCGTGCCGTCCATTTCCGTTGTATGCGCCACTAGCGTAATGCACTTTCTAAAAGATGCTTAAATAGTCGTTAACACGCGCGATTGTCTAATTTCGTCCGGATACGAAAAGCCTCGTCTATGTCGAAAAATCTCGCGTGTGCGCGAGACGACAGAATTTATATTCTTGTTAGCTACAAAATTTAAAATAAAAATATTGTAATATTTGGATTAACATTGCATTGTATATAATATATACAAATAGTTAAATAAGGAATTTTAATAAAATATATTTGACATATCAAGAGAAGTAACTTTAAAATATTATTAATACATATATTTTCTTTATAATAAATCATCTTTATTTTTAATATTTTTTTTAATTGTTGACCGAATCTTATTGTAAAAATGCGTCTCGTATGTTTAAAACTTCTTGTAATACTCGATGATCCCTTTTTACTTTGTTAATATATTAAATTCAGTTATCCAAGAAAGTATTAATTGGTGTGACTTATAACGCACAAAATTATAGACAAGTAATTATTTATTTTCATAAGTGTACGCGTCCGCTGGATAACAATATATAATCTCTGCGGCAGCTATTAGCTAGATTAATTAATTCACCAAGCAAATATCTTGAATGTATGCGCGATATACTAAACCGACCAAAATGTTCTGTCTATTCCATGAATGAGACGTTATATGAACTTAGTTACCACTTACACATACCATTTAAATTGACGAAAGAACGAACTAAATGAATTAGTAAGACAAAATAATTATGTATCTTATTAAGCCTGGTAAAATTTAAGATAAAATTTAATATTAAAAATCTGTATTAAAAAATGCTTAAAAATTTATGTTTTATCTTAAAGTGACCAAGTTTTGGAGTTTTAAAATCAAAGCCGTACTATCCAAATAAAAAAATGTATACATTATAATTTCCTAAAATTTTTCAAAAAATGCTACAAAACCATTACCATATTACATTAAAACAATATCGTAATAGTTTTTTACTGTTGAAATTTCAAAAATAAAGCGTATTAACTACATAAAAAATGTATACATTATAATGTCACAAAATTTTTCCAAAAATGTTAAAAAATCATATTAAATTAAAACAATATTAGTACAATATTAGTTCTTTTACCGTTGAAGTTTCAAAATTGAAGCCGTATTAATTAAATAAAAAGATTATACCTTATAATTTCAACAAGTGTTAAAAAATCATTACCATAATAAATTAAAATAATATCGTAATAATTCTTTTACCGTTAAAGTTTCCAAGCCGTATTAACTAAACAAAAAAAATTTAGACATTATAATTTCACAAAATTTTTCAAAAAATGTTAAAAAAATCGTTATATTAGTACAATGTAAATTATATATTAATACAATGTAAATTAAGAAAAATATAATAGTTCTCATACTGTTCTAATATCGTAATAGTTCTTTTACCAGTTCAGAGAATCCAATAATTTAATGATTTCTCATAACGAGGTTACATGACATATCTTTATGCAAGATTAATAATTCGGTGAGATCGGCGGAATGTCATACGATTTGGGGTTTCTTTTTCCAGACCACGTGCCTAACAGAACTGCCAGATGTGGCGCCTTGCAACGGCACCGTGCGGTTGCCGCCGCCGTGCGAGGACTCGCCTAGCAGCGGCAGCAGCAAGGATCGCAGAGACGAGAGTCCTCGCAGGAGGTGTCGGCTGTTGGCGCCAGTCCTGCTCTTAGTGGCCGTTCTGCTCCTCGGAGGCCTCTGTCTGCCGTTTTTATTTCAATCCGCGCCTGCCACGCACCAGCAGAGGCTGGACGTGATCAGGAGGATCCTCACTGAAGTGCCTCTGATCGACGGGTAAGCGTTTGTTGCCATAAATTGGCATTGGTAAAACCTCGCGGAGGTCGAAAGCGAACAAAAAAAAAACTTGGGCGTACAAAGATACTTGAAAAAGCAATTATTCTGAATTTCCCGACTATTGCTGCGAAGTGTATCATCTCATTAATATATGAAGTAATTATTTCAATATATTCTGTATATATCATACGTATGTATCATATATATCATATTATATTGCGGAACGATATGGATACAACCCTCCCTCCCTTGGATACTCGAAACCAGATCAATTTCATTTCGATCTTGTTATTAATCTCAAGTTGTAATATACGTATAACGTTGTAAT